GTACAAATCCCAGGAGCTCCGTGTGCTCCTTACAAATGACAGCTGCCTCCTATTTTTTGAATTTTTCTCTAGTCTAGTCTTGGAGCTCAAAAGTATCGGTACATGTACCCGTACTTGTACCGAGTACTGTACTTGGTATCTGTACAACCCTACTTCTCTGTATAACGTTTAGTTGGTGTATGACTAAATAAGTGCTGGTTAATGGATGTGGCAAATTCACAATAAAAATAGTAGAATACTTGCAGCTTGGAGATGTAGTCGAGTATATATCAAGTGACACAAAACATTCTTTTTTATTTCAAACAGCACATCACAAAATTAAAGTATTAGCATTTCATATTTAAAATTACTATATGCTACATTTGTATCTGTTAGGTATGCACCGATACCAATACTCATACTTGTAAAAATTCCCTGATACTAAGGGCAATACCGGCGCTTTACATTTTTTTATGGATTAGGCTGCTATAAGGTCCTGCGTCTGCTGGGGACCTCGCGGCAGCCTGCTAAGCACCTCATAGCTGCAGTTTACAGCACCGGCCGCACATGTCATCTTCCTCCTTCCTGATGCCCGCTCAGCCATTGGGAGACCCACATGTAGCCATGGTGAGACCTGCACCTGGTGAGCCCTGGTGAGACTAACATGCAGCCCTGGTGAGACTGCACAGCCATGGTGAGACACGCACCTGCCCGTACAGCCATGGTGAGACTCGCACCTGCCCGTACAGCCCTGGTGAGATCCCACACACAGCCCCGGTGAGAAACTGCATACAGCCCTGGTGAAACCACACACAGCCCTGGTGAGACCAGCACACCGCCCTAATGAGACCGCACACAGCACTGGTGATATCTCACAGCCGTGGTGAGATCCACACACAGTCTCGGTGAAACCCACATACAACCCTGGTGAGACCTGCATGCAGCCCTGGTGAGAACACACAGCCTCCTGAGATGCCGCACAGCCTCCTGAGATGCCACACAGCCCTGGTGAGACCACACACAGCCCTGCTGAGACCTCACACAGCCTTGATAAGACTCTGCATAGCCCTGGTGAGCAACACAGAGTATATAGCTTCATATTATTCTGCATTGATGTATAATGTATTGCTGGGATTTGTAGTCCTCTTTAGCTGGTGGTATTCTCCATTGCTGTATAACATATTGCTGGGATTTGTAGTCCTCTACAGCTGGTGGTATTTTGTATTGCTGTATAAAGTATTGCTGAGATTTGTAGTCCTCTATAGCCGGTAGTATTATTCTGAATTGCTGTATAATGTATTGCTGGGATTTGTAGTCCCTCTACAGCTTGGTGTCAGTGGCAGAACTAGCAGAGGCCGACTTCGGGAGCTGTACGGTCTATTGTGAATAGGGGTCCTGGGGCCGAAGCTAGCCGAAGGATCGGCCGATCCTTCGGCTGCTTCGTGAATAGACCCCATTGTGTTCATACCATGAGTTTTTGATGCTTGGGCAATGAACCCAATTGTCCACCAGAGTCCCAGAGTCCCAAAACATTTGCTGTCAGAACAGGGCATTTGTATTTTCATCCATTTATTTATTTGTTTTCATTATCATCTCCAACAATACTTATGCTAAAGGTTACAAAGCAGCTGAAACATGGCAAACAGGCTGTTCATTTTGCAAGTGAATTTCCCCCCAGCTTAGTGAATGTGGTGAAAATTTACTTTGCAAAGAATACCCAACCATATGCAAGGAAAATAAGAAAAAGAGCATTTTTGCTTGCACATTGCACATGACTGGGTGGTGGAAGTCAGCAGAGCTTCACCTCATCTAATAACCTAAGTCAAAATTCCCTTGCAAAGTGAACAGCCTAACCATTCAGCATTTTGGGATGATTGAGGCTTTATTGTTGGATGGAATTGCCTTCTCTGTAGGGATGCACAGATACTTTTTGAGTACCAGTGCAGATACTCGGCATTTTCATGAGAACTATCAGGGCTGGGACCGGGCTCTGGCACTCCACCACTGTCCTGAAATCATTAGTCTGCATTGTTTTAGAAAAACTGTCACATGACAATAAACAAAAATGTATCAGTACTCGTAATTGTAAGTACTCTGCAAGTACCAGTACTCGTACTCGCAAAACTGGTATCTGTGCATCCCATAAAAACAAAATCGTACATTAAAACAGAGATGTACAAATCCCAGGAGCTCCGTGTGCTCCTTACAAATGACAGCTGCCTCCTATTTTTTGAATTTTTCTCTAGTCTAGTCTTGGAGCTCAAAAGTATCGGTACATGTACCCGTACTTGTACCGAGTACTGTACTTGGTATCTGTACAACCCTACTTCTCTGTATAACGTTTAGTTGGTGTATGACTAAATAAGTGCTGGTTAATGGATGTGGCAAATTCACAATAAAAATAGTAGAATACTTGCAGCTTGGAGATGTAGTCGAGTATATATCAAGTGACACAAAACATTCTTTTTTATTTCAAACAGCACATCACAAAATTAAAGTATTAGCATTTCATATTTAAAATTACTATATGCTACATTTGTATCTGTTAGGTATGCACCGATACCAATACTCATACTTGTAAAAATTCCCTGATACTAAGGGCAATACCGGCGCTTTACATTTTTTTATGGATTAGGCTGCTATAAGGTCCTGCGTCTGCTGGGGACCTCGCGGCAGCCTGCTAAGCACCTCATAGCTGCAGTTTACAGCACCGGCCGCACATGTCATCTTCCTCCTTCCTGATGCCCGCTCAGCCATTGGGAGACCCACATGTAGCCATGGTGAGACCTGCACCTGGTGAGCCCTGGTGAGACTAACATGCAGCCCTGGTGAGACTGCACAGCCATGGTGAGACACGCACCTGCCCGTACAGCCATGGTGAGACTCGCACCTGCCCGTACAGCCCTGGTGAGATCCCACACACAGCCCCGGTGAGAAACTGCATACAGCCCTGGTGAAACCACACACAGCCCTGGTGAGACCAGCACACCGCCCTAATGAGACCGCACACAGCACTGGTGATATCTCACAGCCGTGGTGAGATCCACACACAGTCTCGGTGAAACCCACATACAACCCTGGTGAGACCTGCATGCAGCCCTGGTGAGAACACACAGCCTCCTGAGATGCCGCACAGCCTCCTGAGATGCCACACAGCCCTGGTGAGACCACACACAGCCCTGCTGAGACCTCACACAGCCTTGATAAGACTCTGCATAGCCCTGGTGAGCAACACAGAGTATATAGCTTCATATTATTCTGCATTGATGTATAATGTATTGCTGGGATTTGTAGTCCTCTTTAGCTGGTGGTATTCTCCATTGCTGTATAACATATTGCTGGGATTTGTAGTCCTCTACAGCTGGTGGTATTTTGTATTGCTGTATAAAGTATTGCTGAGATTTGTAGTCCTCTATAGCCGGTAGTATTATTCTGAATTGCTGTATAATGTATTGCTGGGATTTGTAGTCCCTCTACAGCTTGGTGTCAGTGGCAGAACTAGCAGTGTCGCATTGGTTGCAGCTGCGACTGGGCCCTGTCGCTCCACCACTGTCCTAAAATCATTAGTCTGTATTGTTTTAGAAAAACTATCATATGACACTATAAAAAGTATCTGTAATTGGTATCAGCAAGTACTTGATGAAAAATATCGGTACTCGTACTCAGTCTTTAAAAATTGGTATCGGTGCATCCCTAAGTATTTGTTATTCTCCTTTAAAATGTATTTCCATGTGATATTAAGAAGGGGGCTGGGGAGTAATGTTTACAATAATTAACCCTGTCTGTACTGTGCTGGCAGATCTCCATTATCAGTTGTAAACTAGATGTGCACACTGTCTGTCCGAACAATGGGTTGAGGAGATCTCAAGGCTTAGGTTGTGCATTTTTAAAGGAGAACTATGAGGTAAGTGTTTTTCCCATAGTTCTCTTAAGGGTCACAGGAGGACACATACTGGCGTCCTCCCGTGACCCAAAGCTCAGTATATCGCGAGCTACAGCTTGCGGTATACTGAGACAGCCGCAGCCGGGACGGATCCCGACATTACTGTCGAGATCCACCCAGCTTCGTGAGTGACAGCTGGCTCTGCCTATCACTCACCTCATAGTTCTCCTTTAATGCACTTTGAAAAAAACTGCCCCTCAAGCCTGTCCCCTATCTGCACTTTGCCATTTATTCTAAGCAATAGAAGCTGGCTGTAGGGTTCTATGTATACACCTGCTTCATAGAAATGACGAAAAAGGGAAGAAATATTTGTATTAATTATTTTTTGGTATGCTGTATGTAAAGGGGAACATAATGGGCGTTTCTCATATTTGACTTCCAAAGGGTAAATACACTTTCGGGTCTATTCACTAAGCTGCCGAGGGCAGCCGAGTGAACAACCGACCCCAAGTGAAGTGAGCCGAACACTGTTCGGCTATTCACTATAGGCTTGTACGGCTGATTTCAGCCGTATATCGGAGGAAATCAGCCATACATCGGCTTGCTTCGTGTGGCTTCGCGTTGGCCGAACATGCTCAGCATGTTCGGCTGACCCGAAGTGCCGGAGGAGTTCGACTCAGCCGATCCAACATATGGATCGGCTGAGCCGAACCTCCGACAGGCTACTCACTGCTGTTCGGCCTATTCTTATAGATGCCGAACAGCAGTGAGTGAATAGCCGAATGCCCTTAGAGGGACCGAGCAGAACAGAAAAATAGTAAAAAAAGTAAAAAAAAAGTAAATAGAAAACGATTGTGCGGAGCTAGCAGTGACAGCTAGCTCCGCCCAACAGTTTCCTATTGTCCGGCGGTTCTGCTGCCGGTTCTGCTGCCGGTTCTGCTGGAGCCTCCCACTCCCGGCCGCCCAGGAGAGAAACACTGATTTTTCTTTTTTTTTTCTTTATTCTGACACGGAGTCGTGTCAGAATAGAAAAAAAAAAAGAAAAACGTGATTTGAATAAACCTTTTTCATTGGTCAATGGATATAAAGAGAAAAGACGTTAAATAAATAATGGTTTTGTTCTTTATTCCAGACATGCAAACAACAAAGGCATTGTAAGACAAATAAAGATAAGATTTGAGAGCAAAGTACAAAGTTAGACTCACACAGACTGAACAAGGACTTATCTGCAATATGAGGATTCTTGAAGTTCTTACTTTTATTTCTGTACTCCAAACATCATGCTCAGCTGAAGACTCCACGGTACGATTAAAAGACAATGGCTATGAAGATATTGTGATTGCCATTAACCCGAAAATACCTGAAGATGCTCGAATAATTGAGAAAATTAAGGTACGGTTTTATTACTGGTTGTTGTTTGTAGTGCTTACATTCATCTTCAGTTAATAAATTATTTATGCTGATTCAATTAATTTAAAGGAGAAGAAAAGCCAAACTTTTTTTTTCCGCTTTGCTTCTCTTTTGGGTCATATGAATACATTTACTAATGTACTCATGTGACCTAAAGTCAGCATACAGCGGGCTGCAGCCTGAAAAGATCCTGCCTTATTGACAGCTGGCTCTGCCGCTCTAGAGCCGATTCCAGCTGTGCCCACCCCCTCCCCTGTCTGTCCCCCCATCGATTGCTGGAGAAACAGAGAATGAAGGGGAGAATCCCTGCAGGGAGCAGTGAGTGGTGTCATTGTTCTCTGCAGGGAGGAGACCGTGAGCTGAGCGATCATCGGTTACATGTCACGTCAGTTCTACGTATTGGGAAGAGTATATTTTATACTACCAATACTTTTCCTTTTAATACTTTTTGAGTCACTGACCTAGAAGGAGCATGCAGATCAGAAGATCTGACTTCTTTCAAATTTGTTTCTGCATGTTTGTTCTAGGTCAGTGACTCAAGTATGAAACAATTGCAAATACTATCCATTTCCTTTAAAGCTGAACTTCAGGATAAACACATATTGCACACATACCAGAGGCATGTGTCGTTTTATTTGAATACTGGTGTCCTTTTTGTATTTTTCCTAGACCTGTGCAGTAATCCAGCACAAGACAACTCTTGCACTTTGCCTGTGCAGGAGCTTCCTGTGATAAAGGCTGGTTACTATTGCTCTGTCTACTTGTGCAGGGTGACTAGTCTTGTATCCGCCCCCTGCTGTGGTTTTCTGCAGGCAGCCTGTAGTAGGTGGGGTCTGCTGTGCTACTTCCACAGCTCTGCTCTATGTACAGCAGGAGATACTGCTATATTTACAAAGGTAATAGCTAGTTGTACATAGATATCTGGTGCACACAAATTGGATTTACATCCTTCGTGGCTATTAAGAAATACAATTTACACTCTTGTACCCAGAGTTTAGCTTTAACTAAGGATACTAGAGCAAACTGCTACAGATATGAAGCTCATGTGCTGCTAATTACACAGTATTGATGTTGACATGACAGCCCTAAATAAGTCGTTCATGCAGAGTTGGCACATGTGCAGAATCTCAGCTAATTCTGAATGACAAAAGTCCCAGGTCATTCTGTGTATGCGCTGCCAACACCACATGAGTGACTCATTTACAGTCGACATGTCAACATCAATAGTGTGTAATCAGTGGCACAAGCATTGCTGGCTACACATTGTTGACATTGTCATGTCGGCCCTGAGCAGTGGTGGCAGCCAATAGGATCCATGTACACTGTACAGGGTATGCTTGTAAACATTAGCACAAATGTATACAAGCATACTGGGTAATATATGGGCCAAAATAGGGCCACAGATGCAGTTTTGTTAAACATTTTTCCCCAATGTTGAAGGCAGAGCAACCTTATGCTGCCAATCTCTGCTGTCTGAATGGGCCCATAGAATTGTGCACTGCTGCGTACAGAGGCGTACAAAACTAGATGCTGTACACATTTGTATGCAGCATTGTGCACACCTGTGCGCCATAACAAATATATCTAATATACTAAGTTACTGAAATAATGACGTTCTAACACTCTCTTTATATTTTCATTGATAGGACATGGTCAATGGGGCATCTACTTACATGTTACAAGCTACAAAACAAAGACTTTTCATTAGAAGTGTCAAAGTTTTAATACCCAACAGCTGGTCAACAAACAGTTCTTATGAAAGACCAAAAAGAGAGTCATATGATAAGGTATGTATTTGTAGACTTTCTGTACAAACTAAACTTGTCCATTTTCCTGCACTAAAATACTGCCCTTTACACTGGATAACAATGTGTTTCTAATAGAAACTCTGTTCATTACCATGTAGGTAATTCGTATCTATGCACTGCAACATACTTTGCTTTGTAATGCCCTATTTACACTGGTGTGCACGTGCTGCCTCTGCCCATTCACTCCCTTCTTAAAAATGCATTCAAGTACCTTAATTATTAACAGAATTGTAACATATCTGTGTATTATTTAGCTGTAGATCTACAAATCATCTCGGAATTCATGCGGACACTGTCGTTCCTTCTGGAGTGTGGCTACTTTTGTTCCCTGTGTGTGTTGTAAAGTAGCCACTACTCCAAGCTTGCTCCCACGATGGACTACAATCTCAATACAAATTAGTAAACTAAATGTGAGATTGTAGTCCATCACAGGAGTAAACTTGGAGTGGTGGCTACTTAACAACACACAGGGACCTTGAGGGAAGAAAAGTAGCCACCATCCAGAAGGAAGAACAGTGTCAGCACAAATTCAGGAATGATTGGAGGATCTACAGCCGAGTGAGACACAAATAAGCTACAGTTTTGCTAATAGTTAAGGTACCTAAATGCATTTTTAAGAATTATTTCCTGAGTTTAGTGTCACTTTAATGAGCTTCAAGCTGAACTCCATGATAATCAAATATTGTCTCTATACAAGAGGCATGTGTATTCTTACATGAATTTTGGTGTGCTTTGTGCATTTTTTCCAGATCTGTGCAGTAATACATTGTGAAACTTGCCTCTGTGCAGAAGCTTCTTGTAATAAAGACCAGTCAGTGTTGCACTCTCTCCATGTGCAGGTTGACTGGTCTTGCCCCTGTCCCCTCCTCTAGTTAGACCACACAAAAAGAATTTAAAAATAAATAGTTTTTCTTGCGGCTTTTATGGGAGGATGAAAAACAGAAGGTTACAATATTCAGATAAATATCCCCTTTTACTGACTCTGCTTTTCTTTTTCATAGGCTGATATTATCATAGCTGATCCTTTTATTCATGGAGATTTTCCATATACTTTGCAATATGGTGGATGTGGAGTAAAGGGAAAGTATATACATCTGACACCCAATTTCATGCTCAATGACAAAATACTTGATATATATGGACCTCGAGGTACAGTGGTATACATATGTATAGTCCTTCAACTGTTATTTTTGGTCATTTTATTTTTTATTTTTGTCTGTGAAATATCAAAAGAGGTTTGCTATGTATATATAAATAACATTTGTCCAAGTTCAATATAGCGGGGATCCAAACATTTTGTATTTGATTTAGACAAAGTAGAGAATGGTTAAAAGCGCTCCTTTTTTTTTTTTACTGTCCTATTTGAGGGGTTAGGGGTTCTCTGTCCCACACATAGTGGTCACCAAGAGAGGAAAAGAAGAGGGATCTCTGCAACGGGGACACAAATAGCAGTAAAGCAGAATGGGGAAGGATAAGAATTTCTTTTTTGCATTCTTGTTGGGCGACAGTGGTCACATGGACAGGAAGTGAAGGGAAATCTTCCCAGGGGAGATAGACAACGATAAAAACCCAACAGAGGTTCTAACCTCTGCAACTTCATCCAAAACTGTAGTGATACTTTTCACAACTTTAAAGCTCCCCCCACACTGCAAGGGTTATATGCTCATTTTTGTCCAGGGTACCATTAAAAAGCAATTATAACGAAGGCAAGTGCTGCTGCAGATCGATCCGCTGCAACTCTGCTCACTAGGTGCATGTCTGGCTCGCTACCAGCAATACACTCATTCTAAAAACCGGGAAATCACAGCACTCCAAATATCAGTGTGCATTCTTTTTTTCATCAATCAACATCCAGAAACATCTCAGACCAACATCTCTAATGTGTTTCATGCAAACTTGTGCTTAACCATAGTGTACCATTTGTGTGAGTGAACCATTTATAGGAGAACACCCAATACACAGTTCCACCCTCCCTTGGGTGCCAACCTACAAACCCCCATCACCACACACAAAGATCATCATAAACCCTTCATTCAATACCAATATACACCATCACAGTGATAACAATGTTATTAACAATATAAACAAGAAAATAAAAACTAAAGGTACATATACACTTACTCAGTGTCAGATCAAATTAATAAACTTTAAAACAAAATATATTTATAATCATGAACAATCGATCACTATGGCTGTCACCAAAAAAGAGGGGAAAAAATAGTGAAAGAAAAAAGAAAGAAAGACAAAGAGAAATTAAATAAAATGTACTAGAGATCAGAACTCATTAAAGATATGAAATATCACAGAAAACCTTCCTTTTACATAATTGGCCGGGTTTGCTCCAAACCTGAGCTCATCCCTATTGGTGACATGATGTCTGCTGAAGAAGAGGAACAGCTGTTCTGAACATATCTCCAGCAGGGATCACGTGATGAATTGCCAAATCTTTCACACGTCAACAATTCTTCAAGTGGAAATAGAATTTATGTCAAAAAAAATTGCTGACAGGTAAGAGACAGTGTAAGTCTCTTCTGTCAAAAATGCTCCTACCCGCCTGTCAGCAATTTCTTTTTTTGGCATGCCGAGATGAAGTAACTCTAGGCAGGACTGGGTGAAGATGGCAGCACTGACAAAGACGTTGACGGTCAGTGGAAGGAAAAGATTACCGTGATTAGTGGGTGGCAGAATTCCCTATTGTCAATGTCAATGGAAGAAAGAATCAGTGGGAAGAGCAATCATCTCCCCTAGAATCTGCATGAGTGGGAGGAAGAATCCTCCTTCCCAAGGCTTTGTTGGTCAATAGGAGAGCAGACAGCCCAGTGCTAGAGGGGATCGTTTCCAAAGTACGTCAGCCATACTGTGCTAATGTGCTGCACATGGCAAACACCTCCAGGGGGCTGATTTTTTTTTATTTTTTATTTTGGCATATCCCATTTTACTTCCACTTTAATGGGATCCTGTAGCAGCATTTTCTCAGGAATAGGTAAATATTTCAACCCTTGTGTTAATGATTAGTTATTCATCCCAACAATGCATAGATTTTTGTTTACTTTTGAGTACAGATCCATGTTAACTGCTATTGTGACCCACATAGTGTAGTACCTGTGGGCCAAAACAACAAAAGTGAAAATCAATTATACTGAAGTACATGACCCGTCATTAAAAATCTGTCTCATGTAGTGAGACAAATGGCGTAACCTGTGGCAGATTCACGTATGTGTCAGTAAGGTGCATATAAATCTGTTGCACAATTTACTCCAAAATGGTAGACATCTTATTCGCCCCTACTTTCCTTATCACTAGTATGACAGTATTCCTTGATGAATTTGTTGCAACCTTATTAAAAGATAGTAATAGTGTTGCAAATAAGAACTATTTGAATTTGTCGCATGTGTTGGTATTAACAATGAAAATGTACTAAGCTCGGCGTATGGATGTAAGTATCTATAAAACATAATTCCTGGAGTTCAGCTTTAAAACACAGATCTGGTCACCACATGGCTTGAATATCTGTGTGACTACCATTCTCTATTTGGTCACTGAACACAGCCATATGGTAGCCAAAGCATTCCAAACTTTTATAAAAAATAGTTATGAAAACTGACTTATGATCTGCAACTAATTCTTCTTTGCAGGGAGAGTTTTTGTCCATGAATGGGCTCACCTGAGATGGGGAGTTTTTGATGAATACAATAATGACATTCCATTCTACATCGGTAAACAAGGCCAAGTGGAAGCAACCAGGTAAAACAGTGAGTGTTCTCTTCAAAGGTCAAAAATTAGTGCATGATCCAGTTGATGGAACACTCCACTTTGCCTTGCTTTAAATACGCTTAGTTCACACCCCTGTGTTGCAGTGTAATGCAGCATGGTGTGACGTGGTACAACTCACCATGCTGTGCTGATAGAACTTGATATGCCTGCACATATACATTAGATTCAGCAGCACGGGTAAAGTTATGGCACTTTTTGGTAGTGTTGATGTTTGTCTTGCCCCTTCTTCTATTATGCACATTCCTAATGGCCAGTGATGTAGTCTATTATAGCAATGGGTCAATATGGAGTAGACAAGTACGATTAGAAAGTGTCTGAGATTTGCCTAGTATAATAAAAGATAAAATAATACAAGTTAACAAATATCTTGTCTTGTATTCCTACATCCAATCCTGTCAACCAGGTGACAATCAAAATGTCTGTGGGTGGTTTCAATGTGTATTTTTGCTTTCTTTTCAGATGCCCTCTGGCTATGAGTGGATTAAGTAGAATTGAAGTTTGCTACAATGATAAATGTGTTAAAGAAAATTGTAACATTGATCCTAAAACTGGAGTCTATGAGGAGGGCTGTGAATTTTATCCCAACAAGGACCAAGGCATTCATGAATCCATTATGTATAGTCAGACACTGGATCCGGTAAATGTCACAATTAACATAAAATCGTAATATAGAAATCATCTATTTTTTGTGGGTTTTAGACATGGCAATAATAAAATGTATGAATGGCAAAATGCTACTCTAAGAGTATAATAGTGATCTAAACGATAGACTAGCTGCAACAATCTGTGATTGGGTAATCGTGTGTAGTGCTGCTAATATGTTGCGCTCAGTCTGAATGTGAACAAATAAACTTAATGAAATTCACCTCAACAGGTGAACATAAGTGAAGTCAAATGGATAATGTCTCCGTGCAACAAACTATACACATGTGGAATCAAATTATATATAAATCTTGCCGTCTGTGTCCTAACCACAATAGGTGTGCGGATGTGGATACAATAATACGAATCCGTATTATTATCAAATCGATGAACCATGTCAAGGGAGAGACCTGTCTTTGCCTCCTACAAAGTTTATTTGTTCACATTCAGACTGAGCACAACATATTAGCAGCACTACACAATAATACAATGTAGCTATAAACTCCTATACCTACAATCAACATGTTTCTGAACATTTGGCTCTAACTCTCAGCTCAGCTTCCCTGAACTTCCGGTCTAGTACAAGATTACAAGGGAGAGCACAGTCTCCAAAAGCTGTCCATCTACAAGACTGCAGAAGGGAGGAAGCAGTATAGGGGAGCAGGGGAGTGACTTGCCTTGCTGTGCCTTTGTGTTTGTGGAGACACGCACAGTTTACTAACGCACACAAGGGGGGGGGGGGTTCCTTAGGGCCCTGCAAGGGAACGGAGCCATCCTAAAACAGAATATCAGGGCCAGTGCTCCGGGGCCAGCTGATTCTACAAGAAACGAATACTTTCGAAACATCAAGAAGTGGCATCCATTGTAAGTTATAAAATCAGCATTTGAAATCAATTTTAAAAATATTATGACTTTAATTGTATCAAATCACATTGATGCAAACAGATAAAATAATCATTTCAAATGGAAGTAAAGCGTAGTGTTTTTTTTACGTTTTTACACACACTTAAATGTATACTTCTTGCACTTTTATGCACTTTTGTTGGCATTCTAATAAGAATTGTGCCGTCATCTGAATGTAGATGACTGAAGCATGTATATATGCACAAGATCAACTTCAAATAAAGCATTGAAGAGGCTTTATGTGTGGACTGGTCCTTCTCCTAACCTCAGGATGGGGGCTTCTCCTGGGAAAGGGCTTGCATGGGTTGGGCTGGACTGCTGAGCTGAGACCTGAGGATGATATGTGTAAAGATCACTGGTGTATACTGGTAAGGCCAAACCGGATGTTTCTAAGAGGTAGGCTCTGCCAGTAAGGACTATGGGCAATGATTCCGCCCATAGACTTGAACACTCTTAAATCCCCCTTAGTATCCCAGGAGGTGTGAGTTAGCAGAGAGGCGGCCAGGCAATGATGGGTTAAAAGGGACATGTGGCATTGCACAGGTGGTACATATGAGAGCATGCAGCCTGTTATACTGCACAGCTGCATTCATGTTCCATGTTCTTACTTTTAGTTTCTTATGTTCTCTCCAACAGTATGAAATTTGCAGTCTGCTGCCCAGTGCTCTGTTAATGTGTCTCTATCTTGTTAGGTGAACGCATTCTGTGATGAAAACAGCCACAACAAAGAAGCACCAAATGAACAAAACAGATTATGTAACTACCAGAGCACATGGGAAGTGATTATGAAATCTCCTGACATGACTTCTTCTGCTCCGCTAACTAACCCCAGTGTTGTACCGCCTTCAATCTCACTACTTCAGTTTAAAGACAGAGTTGTTACCTTGGTGCTTGATATCTCAGGAAGTATGAATGAGGTATGGATCATGCATTATTATTATTGTTGTTATTATTGTTGTTATTAATATTATTACTATACAAGATTTATATAGTGCCAACAGTTCGCACAGCGCTTTACAACATATAGGGAGACAGTACAATTACCATACAATGCATACAAAAGGATTAGAGAACCCTGCTTGTGAGACCTTACAATCTCCAAGGAGAGGCAAGTGATACAAAAATGAACAACTATGAGGGATGAGCTGGATTCTCACTTCCTGTTCATTCCTGTTCATTCATAATTGTTGACATAGTAACTGATACTATATCCAGTGGTGTATTCTGGTTTGGGGCTGCCCTAGGCAAGGCAAAATTTGGGCCCCCCCCCCACTAAATTTACCCCACCCCTTCCTGTTTAATACTTTTTGCGTAACCTGCCAGCTGCTGGATACAGTGCACACGCTGCATCCGGCTTTTGACATGTTCTGCTATTAGCATAGCAGGAAAGCTGTGCAGGATCTGTGGTGGGCTCTGCAGGGTCTCAGGGGGGCTTTGCAGGATCTGTGGTGAGCTCTGCGAGGTCTATGGTGGGCAGAGCCCACAATAGATCTTGCACAGCCCCCTGAGACCCTGCAGAGCCCCCCACAGATCCAGCACAGCCCCCCTGAGGCCCTGTGTAATGGGCTCTGCCCACCATAGACCCCGCAGAGCCCACCACAGATCCTGCAGAAACCCCCTGAGACCCCACAGTCTGCCAGATCTCAGGGGGGCTGTGCAGGATCTGGGTGGGCTTTGCAGGCTGCAGAGCCCCCAATGGATCCTGCAAAGCCCCCCACAGATCATGCAGAGACCGCCTGCGACCCTGCAGGATCTCAGGGGGGCTGTGTAGGATCTGTGGTGGGCTTTGCAGGCTGCAGAGCCCCCAATGGATCCTGCAAAGCCCCCCACAGATCATGCAGAGACCGCCTGCGACCCTGCAGGATCTCAGGGGGGCTGTGTAGGATCTGTGGTGGGCTTTGCAGGCTGCAGAGCCCCCTATGGATCCTGCAAAGCCCTCCACAGATCATGCAGAGACCCCCTGAGACACTGCAGTCCGCAGGATCTCAGGGGGGCTCTGCAGGATCTGTGGTGGGCTGTGTAGGCTGCAGAGCCCCCTATGCATCCTTAAAAAGCTCACCACAGATCATGCAACACCCACCAAAAGGTATTGCACAGCCCCCCAGCGACTCTTTGTTGGGATGTGCAGAACCTATGCTGGGCCCTGCCAGCACAGTCATCCTCCTACCTGGCACGGTAAACCCTGCCTGAGCCTTGGCGACGCCTCCTGCCTCCTCCATCACGGTCTCTTCTCTTGCCTCCTCCATTGTAGTCTTCGGCCCCAGCTCTTCCATCTCCGCCCCTTCTCTCCTGTCTTCGCTTCCTGCCGCTATGTCTCCTCCATCTTCACACTGCCTCTTGCAGCTCCACCCCATCTCCTCTATCGCCACCCCCTGCCTCCTGCCGTTCCGTCCCCCGCCTCCTCCTGCTCCCCCACCCGCAACTTGCTGCCGCCGTCCCTGTTGACATTAGACAGCCAGGCTGCTGGTTTCTGTGCAGCCCGGCTGCCTAAATGTTTTGGGGGGCGACATTTTTGCCGCCCACCTGGAATCTGCCACCCGAGGCAAACGCCTTGTTTGCCTCGCAGCAGATACGCCCCTGACTATATCCACAGTTCATGAATGGACAGGAGCGTTATAGAGGCTTCCTGTTCATTCATAACTGGGGCTGCAGAAAAAGAGATTGAGAACTCTGTGTCCTCAATCTATTTTTCTATTTCAAAAGGAAAATATCTTTAGACCCCTGATATTTCCCCAGAGCTCCATGAAAAAGAAAAATACATAAAAATAAAATATTTTAAAAAATGTTCAAAAGGTTAAAAAATAAATAATTTCCGGTTTAGGCCTGACAAATGTTTTTATTTTCGGTTTCAGTCTGAAAAATCAATTTTGGTGCACCTCTATTATATATCATAAACTTTTCCAGGGATAGGAAATGATGTGAATGATTATTGTGTCCAGGAACAGACTATTGCAAGTATGTTATGCAATCACAAAGAAAACAATTAATTTTTATTTTTTATTTTATTGAATAATTACTTTTGGGATGGTAAAAAAAATAATTTGCCTAATAGAGACATTTTTATCTGATATCCCACTGACTTTTACTTAGAGATAAGATGTGTGTTCAGAGTCAGTGCCCTTGTCATGCTTGTAAGAAGTGCGCTGTACATATGTGGGCAGAGCTGGTTAAAAACATATCATTATGGGAAGGTATATACAAGTACTGCTTATGTATGACCAGCTTTAATGTATTCCAGTATTCTCAACAAATCTGCTTTTGATTTAAATGTTGATTTTTCTTTATAATCTCTGCAGCATAAGCGTATCTCTCGCATGTACCAAGCCTCAGAAGTGTACATAATGCAAATTGTTGAGTCTGGATCATATGTTGGCATTGTTACATTCTCCAGCAGTGCAACTGTGCAATCTGAGCTGGTAAAGATAGTTGACACATTCCAACGGGAAAAACTGAAGAATTTTCTTCCAAAGACGGCTGTCGGGGGTACAAACATTTGTGCTGGCGTACGTAAGGGATTTGAGGTGGGTTGGTTACATGCAGAATCATTCAAAATAATGTTCATTATGTGTACAGTTATCTGACCTATCATGCCCCCTTACCCTTAGTACCCCAACAAAGCAGATTGATGGTGGCGACTTCCAGCATTAGCTGCTCACAAGTCAAGTGTTTTATGTCTCTTCTGTCAGACATGTTGCTGCTCCATAAGTACACAAACCTGAAACCGTTAGAACAGGTACTGTATCACTTCCATTGCATGACCCATTTCCTTCAGACTGCCCTGCAAGATATTAAGGAGCGAGGCCAGTGGAATGTACATATAACAGGGCTAAAGCCCCAGGAAAAATGTCCAGATCAAGGAAAATTTAAAGACAAGGGTGCATTTAGTGCCTTTCCTATAAAGAGGCAACCTGAGGCGTTTGCCTCAGGCAGCATCTCTAAGGGGCACATGAGGGGTGCGGCAGGCCCCCTTTCTTGCCAGAGCATCCCAGGTTGAGCTCTTAGCAACCTGTGAAACCCTGGCTGTCGTCCTGCCCAGCTCCTGGCAACCAGTAAAGTCAGTGAGCTGGGCGGGACGCCAGACAGAGCCAGACTCAAGGTAACGTGCCAGCACCAACATCCCCTTAACGCGCACCATCGACGCACCCCCCC